GGATGTGCATGTCGCCAGTCTTTTGCCACTTGTTTTTCTTACTTGGCCCTTACTAGTTCCCTTAAATCCCCAAAAAGAGTGAGACAGTCCCAGAATCTTTAGCCTTCTCCGCTTGCCTCTGCAGTTTCTCAGACGTTCTACACTTCTGAAGTTGGGCTCACCAGTTCATGTACGGTTTAGGAGTGGTTTACGTGATTTAGGTTTCAGTTAGCGCCTACTCTTGAGCTTGAAAAGGTTGTGGGAGTTGCGGATTTATGGACCCGGCTAAAGACACTCCCTAAGGGTCCATGTACTCAAATAGAAGATACTTTGGCCTTAAAGTAGTCCCTATTTGGGGTACTTTGGGGCCAAAGTATCTACTATTTGAGCACATGGACCCTTAGGGATAGACGCTGTAATCATCTTGCGAACCTAGATCCCGGTCGCTGAGCTCCGCACCCTAACACGTTCATCAAAGACCACAAACTTGTAGCAAACCCTGGGCTCTAGAGCCTAAGCCCTAAACCCTAAACCGTAAAACCCTAAAGCCCTAAACCCTAAACCCTAAAACCCTAAGGCCCTAGACCCTAGACCCTAAAACCCTAAACCCTAAAGCCTCAAACCTAAAGCCCCTCAAAGCCCCAGACTCTCGACTCTAAGCCTTGTCATCCTAGCCAGGTCACCAAAAAATGCCCCCGCCCCCAACCAACCCCCTAATGTACAATTGATGACCTCGGTAAGCGCACCCCCCGAAAAGGCGAGCAAAACTACTGTCAAGGATTTAGGGGTTTAGGCCCAAAGGGTCCAAGTACTAGTATAGTATATACTTTCGGGGCCCAAATACCTACTAAGTACTTACTATAATGGTACTTGGACCCTTTGGGAGGGTTGAGGGCTTATAGCTAAGGCTTAACGTTGAGGGCTTTGGGTTTGCGGCCAGTTTGGGGTTTAGGGCCTCTTCCGTTGGTCTAGGCCCATCGTGGAAACAAAGCAGTCTGCAGAAGTGCAACGATGCCGGGCTGCACATGGGCTTCTGGGTATACTTAGAGGCCCAGGGGACTTAGTAAGTGGGTTATAAGTAGAGTTATGAGTACCCTAAATGGAGCTACCCCAATTATAACCCTACTTATAACCGACTTACTAAGTCCCCTGGGCCTCCAAGTAGCGTTGAGAAGTTAAGGACGCCTGTGGTTCGAGGGTTTCAAGGTCAAACCCGCAGCCCGCATTCGACACATGGAGTCTGACAATTCGGTCGAAGCCCGCCAACAGGCAGTAGAGTCTGTGGGCCTTGAATTCAATCCAAAGCACTGCGGGGTATGAACTTGCACCTTGGGATTGCTTCATGGATGTCTTGCAAGTCCCGCACGTTTCATCCGCGCCGGCAACGTGCATATAGTGGGGTGCTACGAGTCAGGCATACCAAGGCCTTGAGAAAGATCGACAGACAGGCTTGATGCACGTTCATGGACCAGCACGGACGACGTACGCACAGGCAAGTGCCTTTAGCCTTTCGATTTTGTGGCATTTAGTGCATGTGTGTACTTTGCAATCATCTGACATTGTCCAGGAATTTCCGGTACAAACACAGATACAAGTAGTTCTGCATGTAAGGTCGGCTAGCAGCTATAGCAGCACGTGTAAAGACGTGAGTCCACCGTTCCGGTGTTTGGGCCCTCGGTCCTAGACTGTAAACCGTTGTCTTTGCGGGGGTATCAGTGGGTATCAGGCGATGGCCCGGTCAAGTAGTCTTTACAGATTTCGAGGCATTTATGTTGTGTAGATCTCGATCTGCGTTACGAATTGAGAGACATGAAGGGACAAGGAGTGTGGAATAAAAGAAGCAAGCTCTGTTCGGCCGGAAGCCCTGCGCAGTCGAATTCCTGAAGCAAGCCGACATAACTACTGAGGTTCTGGAGAGAGGATGTTTAACCCTAAGCCCCAAACCCTAAACCCTAAACCCTAAACCCTAAACCCCAAGCCCTAAACCCTAAACCCTAAACCCTAAACCCTAAACCCTAAACCCTAAAACCTTTTTTAGGGTTAGGCGGTTGAGCGTTTCTCGTGGTAGCAAGAAGTGCAGGATGGCCAGCAACCAGGCAATCCAAGTACTCTCGACCTGTCTCTAAACTTGGGGTTTGGAGATTTAGGGTTTTGGGTCTTGGGTTTAGGATTTAGGGATTTAGGGTTTTGGGTCTTGGGTTTAGGATTTAGGGATTTAGGGTTTTGGGTCTTGGGTTTAGGGATTTAGGGTTTTGGGTCTTGGGTTTAGGATTTAGGGATTTAGGGTTTTGGGTCTTGGGTTTAGGGTTTAGGGATTTAAGGTTTAGGGG